TTGGAAATAAACAAAACCACTAAGTTCTGTTTATTTCTTCTCATCATGAGATTATGGATAGCGGTCTTAGATAGAGGTGTGTCGGTGTGTGCGTGTCCGTGTGTTTGTGAGTAAAAGCCAGAGTTTACCTGGAGAGAGAAAATGAAATTGATGGTGTGATGTATCCTTTGTATCGTTTGGTGAAGTCAATACAATGAGAACAACCTAATTACACACAACACACACAAACACACCGACAAAAGACACGTGAATCTACTTGTCAAGTCGCTTTTTGTATGGAAACGATGCAAATATGAGGTCAGAAATAGAATAAAGCCAAATTAGAAATAGAGATGTGAAAGTTAGGAGGATGTTAATTGACTCTAATCTTAGTAAACTATAATCAATTAGATAGGGATTACCGGGGGATTTTAAGGTTAAAAAAAAAATATTTTATTAGTTACTGTAGGTTATTATAATTATTGCTTCCTTTAGTTCCTAGAGAAATATAGGGATTCAGTCGTATGTCTATATTGAGTTCGGTTCTCTGACAACGTTTTCATCACCTGACTCCACGTCTGCCCACATGATTTCATCTATCTCCTCTTCATATCACCTCCTCCTCCATGTCAACCTCGCACTGACGACCAACTCCCCGCTTCCCATTCGTCTTCCACTCGATTGATGGCCTGCACTGTGAGTGATGTCACTTGATGGTTTGTTTTCTAAGAGTATGGCCAGCCAATCCACCTCCATTTCTTCCTGCACATTTCTTGCACTATTGCTTCCTGTTGGGTTGGTTCGCTCATTGCCAGAGATCCCTCACTATTGCTGATCATTTCTGACCGGCCATCTGATCTTGAGCGAAGTATTGAGCGAAGACAGGTGTTGATGAAGGTCTGTGGTTTGTTTGAGGTGGCCTTCGTGACGAGGCGCTGCGCTAACTGTCTGATCCGTATAGTAGGTAGCACTGACTTCAAGCATTGGAGTTAGAAATCCGGATGTTACTTTTCATGTTGAGTAGTGCTGTTGATCTCCACACAGACTTGAGAGTAGTGGAAGCTTGCCTCGCTTTCCCGATGATCCTCGATGCTTTGATATCTTTGTCAGTTCCTCGTCAGCATCACCTGTATTTGAAGTGACGAGGCTTCTGAGGTTGGTTGGTAAGTGAAGGAGTTTTCTTCTTTCAGACTCCTCTTATTTATGCTGGCTGATTGTTGTCTGTTGTTTTTGCTGTTGTTGTTGTTGTTGCTGTTGGCCAGGAATCTACATCACCTCTGTTTTTTCATCCCTGTTCACCTGAATTCCTATCTATTGAACCCCCTTCACTTCAACAACAACAGACAACAATCAGCCAGCATAAATGTGAGAAATCTAAAAAAAGCAACCTCCTTTACCTACCTAACTGCCTACTTGGGAAGCATCGTTTCAACTAGAGGCCAATGGAATTCATGAGGATATCAATAAAACAGTTAAAAATAATAAAGGTTCTGAGAAATTGAGTGAGGTTAAATCAGTTATTTTTATGAAAGGCTTCGGATTTTTCAATAAGCCTTCTTTCTAAAAGTAATCAGAACTTGTCTGGAGGACTTTTCTTTATGCTTTGGTATATTTATGAAAAAAAGTTACATTATCATTTTGTTGTGGGACACATTCCTTCTGAGGAGAACACGGTAGTGCTTTAGGCTTTGCAGTTGCAGTAATGATGGTTTTATATTTACAGCAGGTGTTTGGTAGCGCCCGTGTCAACTTTCCCGCCTTTGTGTGGCCGAATTACCAGCCAGTAAATCAGATCAGGTTCAGGAGAGCATTGGCAGAAAATTAAATCTAAATCTCCTTTCTTGTTGAGCAGTTCACTCAACACATTCAACCAGAATTTAGGTGAGCATAACCTAGCTTACCTATTAATCGCTTCCACTTTACACTGGTGAAAAATTTGTCTCATTTCATTCTGCCAAGAATGGCATATAGGTTGATAAGAGTAGTTTGTCCGAATAAGATAAGAAATCTAGAGAATAGTTCAGCCATAGATAGCACTCATTACATGTAATTACACACAACCGTACAATAGGATGGGATAGGATGACAGTTTCCAAATCTAATATAGCAGCAGGGTGGAGAGAGAGATTGATAACAACAGGAGCTTTGTTTATCGAATCAACTGAATGGAAACACGTGGAATAGGAATGATTCAACACCTCTACAGTCGGACATCTGGAAAATTCTACTACCTCAAAGACGACAAATGGGAGAGGACAAAGAAAACTATGAAACTCAAGTTTCGAAGTCGTGTGACTATAATTGATGAATGATTATGAAGAATACTAGATTGCGTTCGAAACTTTGTCATCCAGTATGTGATAATACTGTTTCATTGTGGGATACATCTAATAAATAAGCTAATATGGAATTACTTACTACCACAGTGACCAAGTTTTACACATATCTTAAAGAGTAGTTTCTTATCACTAAAAAGAATCATCAGTGGTCCATATATACCATACAGACTTGACACAGGCTGTGGACACCATTGAGTGAAACCTGAATGGGAAAAGACAAGGCGGGCGCGGTTCTAAAGGTGACTTGAATACAATGGTGTGTGAAGGAGGGAATGAAAGCTTATGGGCTTTCGCATAGACATCAGAGAACAGACGGAGGTGAAGATGTGGAGCTGAAGCCCAAGTTTCTCCTCGGAACCCATGGGAATAATAATTATAATAGTAATGAACTTATATGTATATATTTGAACAAAGCAAGAACAACAGTAGTTTGTGCAGTATAATATAGTACCATCATTTTATTTCGTTGGCTTCTCATCAGCTGCTTATAGCCCAAATAAATTATGATGTTAATGTACAGAAAAGTTTTAACATACTTTCAAATTTTTTCATGACGTCAGTTGACAGAAAGTTCCGCAGTTAGTGAATTTACGTGTATCTGCGAGAGCAGTTACATTGGAATGACAGAGAGAAGGGCACATCTCCAATTTTCTGGTAACTGGATGTCTTTATTCTCTCTTTCAGTTGGTTATATAATCCTCGGCTTTAACCTCACCCGCCCCCACTTTTGATATATAGTGTAATTTTGCTTGTCTCTTATTTCTATGATTTGAGTTGAACTCAATGCATTGTTAACCAATTTATCTCATCCTTATTACGTAACTCCTTTACCATTGTATGCAAACATTGATTTTTTGTTTAAACTTGAACTGCTTGTATAAAAACTATATAAGCGCAATTTTCTGAGTCATATTAATATATGTGTAAAACTTGGGCACTGTGGTAGTAAGTAATTCCATATTAGTTTGTTTATTAGATGTATCCCACAATGAAACAGTATTATCACATACTGGATGACAAAGTTTCGAACGCAATCTAGTATTCTTCATAATCATATCATCAATTATAGTCACACGACTTCGAAACTTGAGTTTCATAGTTTTCTTTGTCCTCTCCTATTTGTCGTCTTTGAGGTAGTAGAATTTTCCAGATGTCCGACTGTAGAGGTGTTGAATCATTCCTATTCCACGTATTTCCATTCAGTTGATTCGATAAACAAAGCTCCTGTTGTTATCAATCTCTCTCTCCACCCTGCTGCTATATTAGATTTGGAAACTGTCATCCTATCCCATCCTATTGTATGGTTGTGTGTAATTACATGTAGTGAGTGCTATCTATGGCTGAACTATTCTCTAGATTACTTATCTTATTTGGATCAACCAATCTAGATTTTGCCAAGTTTTTATGTTCAGCTAGTCTGACTAATGCAACTGTTCTACTACTTTGACCTATGTATTTGACCTGACAATCATTGCAGACAGGGTATAAGATAAACTAAATTGTTTCGTTTTAAAGGCTCTACAGGATCTTTTAACCAACAAAGCTTGTTTCTAATTGACTTTGTGGTTGGTTTGAATGCCTGTCACTTTTATTCCTGACTGCCTTGTTAAGAATTCTGCATAAGGTTTCCGAGGTTCCTTCTTTGTATGGAATTACTACTGATGATTTAGATTCCTTATTGTTGGTGTCGTCATTAATATTATTATGATTACCACTATTATTATTATCATTATTATTGTTATTATCACTATCGCTACTATCATTATTTATTTTATTTTTACATTTCCTTACATATTTCTTGACTAATTTATCCGGGTAATTATTAAGTTTCAAGGCTTCTTTTATGTGCATCAGTTCCTGTTTTAGATTTTCTTTGGTACTACTTACTTTTTGTGCCCTGTTATGACTTAAACATTTCACCAATCCTATTTTTACTGACATAGGATGAGATGATCGGAAGTCCGAATATCTGTTTGAGTGCGTGGATTTCCTGGAAACACTAGTGTTCAACTTCCCATCTTCTTTCCTTCTTACGTTACAATCTAACATTGGCAGCTCCCCTTCCTGATTTTCCAATTCATAAGTGAATTGAATTGCTTCAACCTTCGAGTTGATGTGTTCGAAAAACCTATCTATATCTTGTGTTCTAAGTACAGTGAATGTGTCATCTACATACCTCCACCATACTTTTGGGGTGGGGTTGAACGTTTCAATCGCAATGCTTTCCCACTTATCCATGAATATATCTGCTACAACTGGGGATATTGGTGATCCCATGGCAACTCCCTCAGTTTGTTTGTATATTTTCCCTTGGAATTTAAATACTGTGAAAGTCAGGCATAGCTGTACTCCCAGCAATTTTCTGAGCACTGTTCACTAACTGCGGAACTTTCTGTCAACTGACATCATGAAAAATTTTGCAAGTATGTTAAAACTTTTCTGTACATAAACATCATAATTTATTTAGGCTGTAAGCAGCAGCTGATGAGAAGCCAACGAAATAAATGATCATACCATATTATACTGCACAAACCACTGTTGTTCTTGCTTTATTCAAATTCATCAAGGGGAATAAATGCATGAAGTTATATATTTATATACTTATGTACTTACCTAATGAACCATTTAAAGGCATTAACTATGAAAATCTTCTATTTTTTTCTTTCCATTTATGCCCTAAAGTCTTAGACGGATGAAAATGGACCAGAGGAAAGTACAAGACTCAGCGAATACTTTGGTCGATTTGGCTAAGGTAAGTTATTTAATAATAATAATAATAATAATTACGCTTTCTTTCATATTGCTTGGATAATTAAACTTTTGAAAATAATTCTTTTTTGTTGCATAGTATGATTTATTTTTTTGAACAATTTAAAAACGTTTATTCTATTTGTTGTCAATATAGTAACATTGTTAACGTGTTATTAAAGTCAACTTCATATTAGGGAACCAATGGACATTCAAAAAATAAACACTGACACAATCTTGAAGGTGTGTTTTAACAACTTTCAGGTTGAGTTCTGCAATTAGTTGTGTTCTCTGAAAAGCTGGTTGGTTGAATTGCTGAGCTTTCGTCGGCCCCTTTCTAGACAACATCTTCAGAGCAAGTTATAGCATAAAATGAACTGATTTGAATTTTCCATGGATGGTAGAATTGCGTCTCGTGACAACCAACCATCTACTGATCATTTTTATTGACTTGTAATTTCAACCTTCATGTCACGTGGTTTACTTGTTAAATTAATGAAGTCTATAATAATATGTGTTTGTTAATCTCTGGCTGATTCCCTTGACAGTACCAGCCAGGCTTCTAGGAATTTCCTGACTTCATGTTTGGTGTTTCCTCTGTTTAAAATTAGATGACACAATCCCCCATTTTTAGATGTCTTAATCGGGAGAATTAAAACAGGAAATTTAAAAACACACAAGTATATAGAAAATCAACGCACACAGACCAAATCCTCAACTGTACTAGTAATAACAACCCAGTTACCCACAAAAGGAAATTTGTGCTGACATTGTTTAAAAAAGAGTTCAAACACACACTGTAGCACTCCAGTGTTGGAGAGAATGGAGGAGAAATACCCACTAGCTGTCTTCAAAATCGATGAATACCCACACAATCACATCAAAAAATGTTTAAACTCAAGTAAGTCACATCACCAACAAGAAACCATCATCAAAGACCACAAGAAAATTCACTCTACCATATAAGGTAAATATCTCTGAAATAACAGATAGAATATTAAGACCGTTTGAAACAGATATAGCACACAAGCCAGCCAGCCTGCCAGCCAACACAATCAATTCATTCATCGGTATTGTGGAAACCGAAAGATCCAACAGAAAAAGGAGATAAAATTAATACTATTTACAAAATAAATTGTGTGAACTGCGACAAACATTATATCGGTGAAACTGTGCGTCCCTTTTGAATCAGAATCCAAAAACACAAATTAGCCTGTTTCGTATCAATGCATGTAGATAATTATGGACACCAATTTGATGATTGAGATAATGTAGAAATTTCAGTTAGAGGAAACACCAAAAATATAGGAAGCCTTCAAGCTAGAGGCTTGAAGTTTCTGTAGCAGTGTTTAGTTTTACAGGATAGGGTTGCTAGCCTCATACCCAACCTTTCCTTTTTACCAGCTTTTATTTCTGGCTTAGCGAAGTAAGGGAGTGCCTCCGTGGCCGGGGATCGAACCCCAGACCATGTGTATGGTCGGCGACGTCCTAACCGGTGTGCCACTGACGCACACCAAAACACCGAAATGCAATCAGGGAATTCCTAGAAGCCTGGTTGGTACTGAAGGGAATCAGCCAGAGAGATTAACAAACACATACTATTATAGACCAAGTTTACCAGCTGCTAAGAGAAAGTAATAAAAAGACGCGACAAGAAATTTGAAATTCCAAGTCAATAAAAAAGAAAGAGAAGAGATGTAAATCAACCAACAGTCAGGAAGATGGCTACCAGTATAGACTCAGTTCTATCATTCATGGAGAATTTATTTTTATTTTATATTAAAACCTGTGCTGAAGATGTTATCTATTGAGGGAACGATGAGAGCTTCGCAATTCAATCCACCAGCTCCTTAGAGAACACAACTTATTCAAAAATCATCCCGCTGTGCTACAAATCTTGTCTATTATTTCAAAGGTTGAGTTTGCATTGATCCTGTTCAGCTCATATAAGTTGGCAGACTATACTGTTGTTTACTAAATGACATTACTCATGATCACACTAATTCCTGAACATAATATGAAACAAATTAATCTGGAATTACTTTAAAACAATGAATTGTAGACAAAGTTTCTTAAAAATATCTTATCCCCACTGTGTCTCTACATTCTTTCTGTGCTAAAGTGACAGGTGTTCATGCCTATGTGTTTTCAGGTTACACAGAGACTTTAAACTTAGTGAATTTGAACCTTAAGTGAGGTTGCATTTCGATTACCCGCCAACATGCTTATAAACTTAAACCGGAAAAGGTTGGAGGAGAGTGGCGTATGGCTAATGACCCCACCTCGTTGAAAAAAATAACACCGTTGCTACTGCAACATAAAGTTCGACACCTGATATTCCACGAGGAACACAAAGGATGGAAAAAGCAAAGTATTTCAAGAGATTTAGTTTTTTAGTTTTGACTTCCTTATGCATTGAAATGCAATGTAACAAGAGGGACTACCGTTGCAAAAGAGGAGAATAATGTGGCATTTGAAACGCAAGGAAGATGGCTAGATGAGTTCTAAATAGGACGAAGCTTTTATTTTACATTCTATTGTTAGATACAAAAAGACTAAGTGAATACTTGTCGTTTTGATAAGTGTAGTTTATCGAAGAACACACTCAGGGATTAACTGTCGATTTTCCACTGAATGAAATCGAACTGCTTGATTGAATGGAGCTTTCAATGATTTTCAACCTTTAATTGGTTTACATAGATCGTTTATTTATTGACTAGTAATTAGTCTAACTGTATATTCCTGAATGTTGGAGAAAATAAAACGAATAATAGTAGCATATATGCTCAAGAGGCTAAGGGATACAATTATATTCTCAATTTGCAACTTACACACACGTTGAGGTGGAAATACACCACACTGAACTTTGAGAACTCAAAAAACTCAGATCATAATATTTGATTTAATTACTACCAAGATAGGGAACCCAGAAATCAGGTAAACAAGCATAATGGCACATACTACTCACTGGTTTGAGTAGTATCGCTGGTCCTCGTGAGTAGTTTGTCAGAATTCGAGTGATTTTAACTGACTCCTCTCTTTCAGTTAACTCTGATTGGGTGCAACGCCGATTTGCCACTGATGACTTGACCTGCAAGTACTTTCAAGACCAAAAGCAACTCGTTGTGGGCTGAAAGCAGGAGACTGACTTCTCTGTCCTACTCTCCAGCTGTTGAAAACATTCTGGAGATACCTACAGTTACAAAGCACTCCAAAGACAGCAAACGGACGGTTATTCACTGTATAATCTACGGTTCTATTCAATAATAATAACGCCAGAACATCGAAATTACTTCAACAACGCCGTTAGACAGCTAAACAGCCAAAGAAACCTTTTTTTCAGTACAAAGCAGATACTGTGAAACGAAATAAGCCAACCAAAATTCACCTGCTGGCTGGCTGGCCACTCATGTGGTCCCGGGTTCGATCCCCGGCCACGGATGCACTTTTTTACCTTGCTAAGCCAGTAATAAGAGGCTGCTGGCTAGCAACCCCATCCTGCAAAATTTAATATCACTGCTAACGAAACTTCAAGTCTGTAGCTTGAAGGCGCCCTATGTTCCACTGGGAACGTAAAGGAATGAAAAATTTAACTGCAAGAAGTGTCTAAGAATCGAGTGGAATATTCCAAACAAGATGGGATCAAAATCTCTGTCTACAAGAATCATACACCAACAATTCCTTTGGACAGTCCAATGGTCAGAATAACCTTGACTTCATTCATAGAAAATCACATTATGAACAACATATTATTAATGTATCGCACAGCCACAATGAGAAGTATCAGAATTAGAGATTAAACCGGAACAAAGACTAACAATAAGGATCAGGTCAATATATGATATGCAAATGTCAGAAAAAGGATATGCAGTCTAGGGGAAAGCGGGAAAATAATTACAAAGTTGGTTCAAATTTTCAAACAGGTACGAAAATATAGTGTGTGTGTATGTGGAGGTCAGCAGCACTGCCCAGCATGAAAAATAACATGCGGATTTCCAACTCCAATGCGTGAAGTCAGTGCTGCTTATTATTCGGGTTGGAGACTTGGCTCCACGCCTCGTCACGAAGGCCACCTCGAACAAACCACAGACCTTCATCAACACCTGTCTTCGCTCAGTACTTTGCTCAAGATCAGATGGCCGACCAGAAACGATCAGCAATAGTGATGGATCTCTGGCAATGAGCGAACCAACTCAACAGGAACCGATTGTGCCGCAACAAATATGCAGGAAGAAATGAAGGTGGATTGGCTGGCCATACTCTGAGAAAACAAAGCATCAAGTGACATCACTCACAGTGCAGGCCATCATTCGAGTGGAGGGCGAATGGGAAGCGGGGAGTTGGTCGTCATTGCGAGGGTGACATGGAGGAGGGGGAGGATGTGATGCGAAGAGGAGATAATGAAATCATGTGAGCAGACGTGGAGTCAGGTGATGAAAACGTTGTCAGAGAACCGAACTCAATGTAGACGTGCGACTGAATCCCTATGTTCCTCTAGGAACTAAAGGAAACAATAATAATAATATAGTGAATGGATGGTTCATGAGGTATTTTTCAAACAGTAATTCCGCAAAGGCTGACTCTGCTGACTAGGTACACTGGTGACGTGTTCAGACATAAACAAACAGAACAGCTATCCAGGTTGTGGACCATTTTGATTTTAGTTGCAGCGAATACTGACGGACATGAATTGCTTTCACACATGTTTTCTATGGGTAGACTTATTTCTAGAATTGAATATATATTGGAATAGATATGGATTAAAATTGATTCAAATTTACCGCTATAAAATTATTACGCGAAATTAAAACAAAATAATTGATTTTTTATAATTGAGCAGTTAGCTGACTAACTAACTAACTAACCAACTAACCAATATGGCGTTTGTTTCACTTAATTAATTAGGCTTCATTAATTCAACTGAATATTTAAACGATCATTTTTTTCCCAAAATAAAAAGAAAGAGAATCTGTGAATTTATGCTTGGCCTGTTTACATCAAATG